CCAGCTCAGGGCGAGGGTAGCATACTAGGAATTCAGCTTCAGCAGCTTTCCGCAACCCTTCTCACCACTTCTCCAATTCAGGCCGGTTGAACACTGCTGCTCCACCTGTCCCCCCCAGGACTGAGGTCAGCTCCTTTTGTTCAGCCCACTCCTTGGGACGCATTGAGGCTGGTGGGGTTGCAAAGCTGCTTTAGATCCCAGTTGAGGTCCCATTGATCAACCCCGGCCTGGCTCCAGCTGGCTGCTCTGTTTCAGGCATCTTCTCCTGAGTCTTCACTACCCCTTTGGAGGCTACCAGAAAGGGCACAGGGGCTCAGGATCCCTCAATAGGAATTGAAGTTGAAGAGAGCTAGCTTAGTGTCAAGTTCCAGCTAAGAAGCCCAATGAAGAAAAACACCAGAGACATTGCAAATGTCAAGGTTCCGACTAATGAAACCAAATAAAGCAGAACTCAGAGGCTTGAAGTTTCCTCAAAGCACATGTTTATTGGATACATATTATCGGTATGGTCAAAAGTGAAACCAACTCTAAAATTCCCCTTAGGGATTCAATGTAACTAAATGTAACAATTCCCTCCCCTCTACTATGCTATAGATCAGTGGTGGTGAACCTATGGCACGCGTGCCAGAGGTGGCACTTGGAGCCCTCTCTGTTGGCACATGTGCCGTTGCCCCAGCCTCGCCTCCCCCCACGACCCTCTTCACCAGCAGCCCCCCTGGAGACTTGCCCCTGAGCGTGGTCCACACAGAGCAGCGCAGCCAAGGACATGGCAGCCAGGCAGCATAGACAAGACTCTGCCCTCACGCCCCATCCCGCATAGTTGATGCTGCGGGGCATGGGCAGAGGGTGTGGCCGCCATGGTGCTGCTGGGCTGCCTGGGTGATCTGCGGCGGGCCCTGGAGGTGGTGAGTGGCCCTGCAGGCAGGTAGGTGGGGGACGGGGCAGGGGGTGGAGTGGGGGTGGAGCTAGTTTTTGGGCATTCGGTCTCTAAAAGGTTCGCCATCACTGCTATAGATCATGCTACCCAATAAAAGCAATTGGCAAATAGCAAAGCTGTCATTTTCTTCCCCCCTTCTCCCCCCCAACCTATGGCAGCTCAGAAAGACAAAGATGGCTTCAGCGGACTTCCAGTGGTGACCGGCTGCACCGAATGGCGGCTTTTGTTAGCCGCCGGTCTGGGAGCGCGTCAAAGCCTGAAGAGACAGCGTCCGTCAGCTGTCTCTCGGCTCGGAACCTCGTCCCTCGGGCAAAGAGGGGAAGGGGTGAGTAGGTCCGGATAGGGCTAGAGCTTCCTTTCACCCCGGTTTTCTTTAATCGGGGGTGAGAGATGTTAGCTCGCCCGGAGTCTGGACATTCTCCGCGCCCCATGATGCCTTCGCTCCTACCCATTTGGAGCGAAGCTAGATGCAGCTCCCACCTCTGCTATCGAAAGATATCTGGATTTAAATTATAAGCAGACGGGACCAAGCAGGAGGTTCAGAATTATAGTGGACTATTTGTGACTTTGACTCTGAAAATATACTAGCATCTTCTTTATTTTGTAGAGAGTTAAAGTGAGAGGAAATGGCCGCGGAATTGCTGTTTCTTTGGAGCTTTCGTTCTTTACTTTCACTTTCTCCTGGTTATTAACTGGACAGAGATATATTGTTGCCCCTTCGGCTTTGGAAAGTTTTAGTTACAACGAATTTGTAATGCCTACTGGTTGGTGATATTTACTCTTTTGGAAGAAGTTTGGAGAATGGTTTTAAAATGGCTGCAGAACTGAGAAAGAAAGAGAGAAAGAAAATTTCTTACTTTTTTTTTCTGGTTGCTGATTGAAATCTACTGAAAATGCCTCTATCTTTAATTACAAATGACTTACAGGATGTTTTGATGCAAGCAGTTAAGCAATATACTGTGGAAGTTAAAGATCTCTGGGTTAAGAAATTGGAAGAATCATATGAAACTGTGGCATTTGCCCTCCAGAGGTTTATAGTTCCAGATTGTTTAGAGCAATGGGTGGATAAATCATGTGAAGAGGTTGAAGAAGATGTTATGGAAACACCCCAAAATGATATGCTATATTGTAGAGATTTGGAAAATGATAAGCTTGGAAAACTGGGAAAGGAAGTTGTAACAGATTTGGCTATGGTCCTGGTGTACCTCCCTGGTGGAATTTTGAGAAAAAAAAGTTTATATAGAATTAATTTACGGGTCGTGCATCAGAGAAAACCAGCTGAAGATGTTGCTGTTCGTGTTTTTGGAAGAAGTTTACAGGCTTACTACCTGCAGAAATTTCGGACACGTTATAAAATGTAAAAGGCAGAAGATTCATCGACTTTGAAGGTTGATTTGGTATCAGCGATGTGAAAAAGAATGGGAAGCCGGGGGGAGATGCAAAATGGAAGAGCTGGGACAGACTAATAAGAAATGTTTTTGAAGCTTATACCTTTAAAATTTTGGACTAATAATATAAATAAGAAGAATGTTTTCGAAGTCCTTGGACTTGTAGAGTGAAGAGACCCAGGAGGATAAACTTATATGAGTTTTTTTTTTTTTTTTAGGTTTTTGATTTAGAAAATTTTGGATTAGTAATATTATGGTTTGAATTTGTTATAGGAGATTAGATTATTAATGATATATAATTGCACTATTCTAAAGGATTTATATTGTTTTAAGAAGTTAAAGATTGTATTTAATGGGTTTAAGATATTTGGATGATTATAAGAGATTTAAGAGAAAATTTATATATGTATTTATCATAAATAATTTTATAGGTTTCTGTATATGTTTGGAGATTGGAATGTTGCTGTTGATTCAATGAAAGATAAGATGATTTCCTCGAAAGTATTGATTTAAGAGTGAAGAAAGTGAAGGGAAAATTTAAGTGCAAAATTTAAGAGAAAATTTTTATAAGTTGCTTTATATCCTTAAAAATTGTTTTGTATGTATTTTAGTTTATAGTTTAAATGTTGGTTTTATTAGAGTTAAAGTACATAAATATTGATTGTATTATGTTTGTTTAGTTAAATTGTAATTTAGATATGGAATGGGAGGTGTTTTAATCCTGTATTTGGTTCCGGGAAGTCCAGGGGGGGAGGGGGGAAAGGGATTTCTTATATTTTGGTATACTTGAATGGTAGTGAGATATAATGTGCTTATTGAAGAAAGGAGGCTCAGTCGGCCTCCGGGACCACATCTGAAAGAGGAGGAGAGAAGAAGGGAGGATGTATAGGGTAGAGTTGTTGAGAGGGTGGAGAGGAAGAAGGAAGGAGGCAGAAGGAAAGAGGAGGGAAGTAGGTAGAAGAGAGGGTGAATGTGGCCCTGAGAGGCTGCTGAGCATCTTAGAATAGGAGGTTTTTAGTTTGTTTTTTTATTATTAATATATGCCATAATCATATATTTGTTTATTTTTAAAAAATGAATAAAAATTTCTTTAAAAAAAAAAAAGATGGCTTCAGCGATCTTCAGGTTTGATAGTGATCTCTAATGTAAACTTTATTAGGCATTGGCAAACTGGTACAATACAAGGAAAGCTAGCTCTGAGAATATGGCAGGAAACAGATAATTAAAAGAGTAAAACTTTCCCTCCCCTCTCTGACAGTTCAGGTCACATTGTCCAATTAATCTTCCAGCAATGAAAAGAAACTTTGGTTTGCCAAAACATCTCTTCAGAGGCTTCGGCTCTCCCGCTAATAGGGAGCACCTGTAGATCCCAAACTCTTCCCCCCCCCCCAGTAATTGTAGACAAGCTAGAAGCACTACAGTGGTCCTAAAGACAGTACATTTCATAGCTTGACACTGTGGTTGTTAAGTTAGTAACATGTCTGTTAAGTAAATCTGGCTTCTCCATTCACTTTATTTATCAGAAGGTCACAAAAAGTGACCACATGGCCCCGGACACTGCAACCGTCATACACATATGCCAGTTGCCAAGCATCCAAATTTTGATCATGTGACTGAGAATACTGCAATGGTTGTTAAATGTGAAAAATGGTCATAAGTCACTTTTTTCAATGTTCTTGTAACTTTAAATGGTTACTTAATGAATGTTTATAAGTCAAGGATTACCTGTATAGAATTGTTATACAAATATAACTGAGAATGTTACAGCAATGCCTACTTTTTATCATGCATCAGTAGAACCCAGGCAATTTTCTCTGGGACTAAGTTAGTTTGGAACTAAGCAGAGCTGGACCTGGTTAGCAGATGATGGAAGACTACCTGAAAATTCCAGGGTGTAGGCTAGTGGGCAATGGAAAAAACATCCTGGAAGAAAGTAGTGGCAAACACTTCCATACCATTAGAAATAGAAAAGGACCATGAAATCAAGCTCAATTGAAAGAAGACTTCCCCTTTTCTTTTAGATCATAGGTAAGCAGAGTCAGCTGCATAGTCTGGCCCCAGCTTACTTATCTTACTTATAGTCTTACTGATATATTATAATATCTCCTCCTGTTAATACTGGACTTCACCAGAGTATCTCTTGCTACATTTCCATTTTAAAACAAATATTTTAAAGTGGTCAAATATTCAAACTGAGCACATCTTGTAATTTTTTCATAATAAATTACTGTTTGCATGAATGAATAAATGTTTACAGCATTTTCATGCCACTTTCCATTTTAAAATTATGAAGTAAGTTTAGGTTTATAAGAATTGCTATAAGGTATAGAATATAACTAATAAAATATATAAATAATTTCATAATTAGGGCAGGTGATACAATTTATTTATAGTTCTATGCTACCCATCTCATTCTGCAAAGTGTTAGTCAAGAGAACTTGGATGCATTCATACACACAGGTATTCATATTTCTGTACTCTTCTCCAGTTGAGAATCCAGTTTGTTCCACAAGGTGAGCACTATCACAAAGAATGCCCACTGCCACAGGACATTTACATGATAATTATTGTACCAGTTTATCATGGAACTTTCAGCTACTAAATCTACAATGAAGAACTTTGCTGAGCTCCTCCAAACAGAATAATAAAGACAAAAGCAGCTTTCAGGCCCTCACCTGATTATGTTCCTCATGAGCAAGGAAAAGGCATTCCTGGCAGAAGTGCAGAAATTGGTACCGTAAATAGCAATCTGGGGAAATTGCCAAAGGGGAGGGGAGAAAATCTATTGAGGAACATTATTTTTTTTACAAAGACATGATTATTTAGAGCCAGAAAAAAGGCAAATATATAATATTAGGACAGTATTAATGCCATGATAAAACATGACAAACAAACAAGCAAACACATTTTTGCATGACTTTTGAGAATGTGAAGGGAAGGAATAAGAAGGAAAATATACTGTACTTGCCTGGCTCTCTCTTATTTTGTTTGTTATGTTTTCCCATCATGCCCCCCAAGCTCAGCTAGCTTTAAAAAAGTTCTTTATTTATTAATCAAGGGGCTCCAACTATTCTATCAGGCCCCCATTTTATTTCATAACCAATTTATTTCACAATAAAAATCAATACAGAATTAACATGAATGGGTAATTAGCATTTTCATCTGAAAACCTGTACTAAGAATGAAGAATACAGTAACTGCTGCAGCATTGACATGGCATCATCAGGACAAGTAAATGCACTATACAAATGACCAAGATGAGTGCATTTGGCAGCCAAGTCTGCTTTAAATGTTTTAATGAGTAATGAAGAATCTAAAAGAAAACTTGCAACTTCTGCCAAAGGTATAAACTCTTTAAAATAGTTCCCTTACTGTGCAGAGCATCTAGAAATCTGCAATAATGCCCTAAATAAATCACAGATGTTTGAATTCCTCACCATAATGTATGCATTTCTATTCAAAAACTTGATGAACTTCTCCAGGCACCAGAAGCAGCATTTGAAACAGGTCAAAAGGAACTTGGCAAACATATTCTCAGAAGCTAATGGATTGCAAAACAGGACAGGAGAAAGTTCTTATTATTCTCTCTATCACATTAGAAAGAGTCATGTATCCCTCTGATTATTTATTTATTTACTTGGGCTTCTACAGCACAAAATCCCTATAGCTCTTAAACTGCTACAGAATGTGACAACAAAGATCAAAATAAAAATTTAAAATATCTAACATCCTACGAACAACAGCACCATCCCTTGGAGGTAGGTTTACAAAAGAAATGCCTGAAAGTTTTAGCCAGTAGAAAGGATCAATACCTTTTAGTTTATGATCTAAGTATTCCAGAATGACTCGAATGACCTGGACAATGGCAAGAATCAGGGATCCAAAGGCCAGTGAACCAGTGTGATACCTACAGGGAGAAAACAGCAGCAGAGAAAGGCTGCAGCACACCTGTACACATTTTCTTAAAGAGGGAGGATAACATAGTTCTATACTGGAGTCTCTTCTGGCTGTAGGAAATGCTACTATGCTGAAGAATACAGGACCGAGTCTTCTCAAGCAGTACTTGCCAGGCCCAGGAGAGACTTCTTTTTGGGACTATGCTTTTGCAAAAGCATCTTCAGCCTTTCACAAGTTTTTGAAATTACCTGTGATGTACATATGTTGACTCTGCTCCCACAAAGAAAACTGCAGCACTTTTCATCCAAGGGAATCTAAGTGGCCTTGAATAAGCCTAATATCTACTTCAGTTGTAATACTAGCTTTTCAGAAATCAGCTCTCTTTTCCAACCACAAAGCAAAGAACAATTTGCCATCTCATCTTATCCAAATCGCAAAGAATTTTATACTAAGCTTGCACCTATCTTTTCTGTGAACTTAGTGGTCCTGTCAGAATCCATTTTTCCCGGGGGGGGGGTCCATCTCATCTCTTTCCTGTTTCTTTCTTTCTGAGGCTTCTGCCATTCCCCTGAGGGGAAGGAGGGAAGGCTCCATGGTATGTTATTCTGCTTTGCTACAATGTATCCTTTCGCTGTTCCTGCATGCTGACTCTTTGAACTGTCTCTCCCTTGATGTTACCTTGGGGTGAGAAAAGAATGTGCCTCTGGCCATCTGGCTTATCTCTCGCTGTGGAAGGGAAGGTGCGAAGACCCAACAACATCTTCACAAGCATGGGAAAGGACCCCATTATCAGCTCTTTTCCCACAGCGAACTTAACACCTGGGGATTGGTCCATTCAAATTGACCGGATGAACTATTGGGATGAGGTTTTGCTTGGGACTCTTTTAACCTATTGATCTGAGCAGGAAACCCTCAGATCCTGCCTATCATGCCTGCTATCAGCTTCTCCTAATAAAAGTTCCTTTTGGAAAGAAACTGTTCCAGGAGTCCTGCTTTCTTGGGATGAGGTTTTGAAGTGGGCCCTAACAGGTCCCTAATAACAATTTCCTATTCCTCCGAAAGGTAAACATTGCTGATATCAAGGCAAATTGACATTTTTTCCTTTGCACCCCATTCCCTTTACCTGAGTGCTCGGCCAAATGAGGAGAAGAGGGGAAATGCTGGCATATCATCAGGTTTTTTAAAAGCCCAGTAGTATGATGCAAAGGCCCCAGCGAGTGTAACTTGGCCCAAAGCAATGACAAAGTTGGCCAGCCAAAAGAACATGAAAATATTGAAAATCTGAAAGATGATGAGGTACTTGTGGTAGGAAGTCTCACCACCATAGAAGGCAAAGAGGCAATGTGCTCCTGGGCACAGCTTCGTGACATTGGAAGTACTGAAGGTCTAAAAGAAGGAAGAAAATTGTTATTTGTTAAAGTTCCATTTAAACGTCTTACTTGAAAATAATATTGCTTTTCTATTTTATTTCCCCTAAGAATATACGCAAGTTTCCAAAAATCTGGGCAAAGTAGAAATTTTGCCTTATGAATTTCCAGAATTTGGCTTCTAGAATGTCCAGAATGTGCCAATTATTAATACATGATATAACTGTTCCTTTTCTTTTGCCTTTCAAAAAGTAATTTAAAATAATAAACAAGGCATAGAGCTTAATTCTCCTATAAAGCTATGCTTACACTTGCTAAAAGAAAACAGTGCACACTTGGGTATATTTCCCTGGGAGAAAGTACAAACATAGTCTTTGAACATCCCATTTTCTGGAATAGGAGGGAAACCTGTTTGACTCAGACTCTTCAAACAAGGACTGGAAGGAGTAAGCCTCATCCATGGCCCTTGCAAGAGGATCTGTCACACATTCAGCAGGAAGTGGACTGCTATATTCTTGTGGTTTCCAAACAGCTTAACTGAAAATATTTTCACTAGTTAATTATTTTAAGTTCCTTACCTCTGGGTTGCAAGTTGTTCCAGCATATTGGCATTCTGTATCATTAAACACCTTGTAGACAGCTTCGTTAGAAGTAGACAAGAAACTAGAAGCAGTCAAGGAACTCTTTATTATAGTAATAAAAATACCACTTTTGCTTGCCTGAGATGAACATCTGAGAACTAGGTTACCCATCCCCTTCACCCATTTATCCAGGAAAGAAAGAAAAATTGAGGAAGGATACACAGCAGTACTAGCCCAATAAGCAATGCAGAGACACACCAGAAAGAAAGTACAGAGTGGAAACAGAAGTGATGTCATGATGTGTCCGATAGCCCTGCAAGAGGGATGGGGAATGGGGAGAAAGAAAAAGCACATGATTCAGTTCCAATGCTTTAGTACAGCCAGCCACAATAAAGCCTTGTTTGTTCTTTGGCCACATTGGGACTGGGTTCACCTACAGTATATCCAGGATAGTTAACAGTTTCTATTCAAGGAGTGCATATTGTACACTTTACAAAAGAATAGAGCTGGAACTTTAACTTTAACTTTAAACTTTAACTCCTCCCAGCCCAACAGTTCTGGAAGGAATGAATAAAAAGAATGTTTTATATTTGAGATGGACAACCAGTTTATTCTCTGGCAAAAAGAGAATATTAATCTCAATTTAGCATTTTCTCTTTTGTTTGTTGATGCAGTACAGATCTGCTTGATTTTCCAGCAGCAATAGATTTAGACAAGAATAGCAAGCCAATTCTGAAGAACCACAAAACTGATTAATGAGGGGATGGTTGTGGATGACACTTCCAAGAATAGAAGAGTCCAAGTCAGCCTCACCTGCTAGCTTCCTTGATAAGTGCAATAGCAATGAGGATTCTCTTGCGCAAGAAGATAAGCAGTAGAATAATGATAACTTCCATAATGCACAGGATGATCACTGGATCAAAAAGAAAAGAAAAGGAAATGACTTGATTCCTGCCCTATACAGCGTTTACTGAGCAAGATAAAAACACAAACTAGAAAAAATCTTAGAACTATTCAGAATGCACTTTCATCTGTATGGAGGTTTGAAGATATCTTTTCCAATTTTTAAATAGCTTCTAGGTCTGCTCAGTCAAAAGGCCACTAGCTATTATACTCAAACAGGAACTCACTGAAAGCTAACCAGGTTTGTTTCAGGTGGAGATAGACACGAAAATCTGTCTGGAATCCAAGCTCCATCAAGGAGACATCAGAACCAGCCTGTCCTTTCAGATGAGCATATTCCATATAACAATGAAAGATTCCTGGAAGACAAAAACAAGAGTTGGAAAAGGAAGAGAAAAGGGCTGCCAAAAGCCTTGGTTTAATATTCTCATTACTGTATACCCACAATATTGCAGCCTAAATGGGGAATGGTGATTAAAAAATACAGAAAGCAAAGCAATTCATACAGATATCTATATCTATATAAATAAAAATGTAAATGTTTGTTTGTTCAAAATCTTAAATCTCCGAAAGTTCTTCACCGATTGCTTTGAAATTTTGACACAACGTTGCATTCGAATACGCGCGTGTTTTTATATACCTATATTATATAGATGTCACACCTGTGACAGGTAAAAACATGCTTTTTTTGAAAAACAGCGCCATCTGTTGGACGTAAAAGCAACACACGCTTTTACCAGACTGAGCCACAGCAACGCGTGGCTGGGTACAACTAGTATTATATAAAATCTTAGCAGAATCTTCCCCAATCTGACATTTCCAGATATGTTGTATTGCAACTTTCAGAATTCAGAGGTACCCAACTCTCAGAGGTATCCAAATCAGCCATGGGTACCTCATTAATGTATAGTCTTCCAGATACTGTTAACTCCAGTCTCCAATAGCTCATCATGGTTAGTTCACAATAGTGAGGATTTGGAATATTTTCTATCCACCTCTAAACTAAATCTGAAGAATGAGAATTTCCAGTAGACTTTTGCCATAACCCATAAGATTCCAGACTTGATTTAACTCACCATATCCAAGCACCAGGATCACCAGTACAATCATCACCCAAATCATGATCCCTGCCAGGAACCGGAGCAGAACAATAAATACAAGGCTGACTACCATGGAAATCACGAGACCTCTGCAGATGGAAGACAGAAAGTCTTGAAATAGTTCTTGCATTGAAAACCAAATACCTTATTTAAAAGAAGAAAAGATATCAAAGCAATGTATGCTCAGAGGAATATTATATTTTCATCATGGATTTCTAAAATGAACTTCTTCCTTCCATGTTTCACTATCTTACATTTACATAAATATATATGGAGTAATCATTCATCTCTTCTGTAAATTCTCATTTGCTACTTTACCATGCAGATATTTACAGTTATAACTGCTTGGATTACATGAATCAATTAACAAAATAGCTACAGTCACTCCTAATGCTAAACCAGGATTTTAAAAACCCCAAGTTATTGAATAAACTATAGTAGCCTGATTTACATGTCATATTAACCCCAAATAAATTAAAACACTTTGTTGTGAAGCAAGCCAGTATGGATGAATGTGGATAAACAATGTCGATTATGTAAAAGAAATGAATGTTCAATGCAGAATGTTCCCCAAAAATGAGGGAATGAACAAATTGGCAGGCAAGAGAGCAGTATTTCAGCTAGGACAATGACAGAGTGCCAATACTGCTAGTATAATAAGTTAAAATTTTGGATACATGCCAAAGAAACCCAAGCCCAAAACCTAGCTTGATCATGGTGCTTACTGAGTGACTTTGGGTCAGTGGTTAATTAAGGCCAATCCTCCTTTGTACAGCTGATATGGATTAAATTAAGGGAGATCCCCATATAAACCATCTCAAGTTTATGCATTTTCTAATTTCTCCATTGTTCTGGTTTTGGGATAATTAAGCCGCAATTTCATTCTATAGTTTAGTGGGGCTATTCAGTCCTATGCTTACGTTATTATCCAGTACCAGGAAACGGTGTAATCTTCGAAGATTTTCATAGCTACTTGTCTTGTCTCCAGAAGGACATTTGCTTTTCTGTAATTAAAAGCAGCACAAAGTGAAACTAACAGGAGGAAAGAAAATGCAATTTCTATGGATGTGTACATCTATCTAAAGCAGGGGTTCCCAACCGGGAGTGCTCGCACTCCCTAGGGGTGTGAGACGATATTCCAGGGGATGCAAAAACTTGGGTTTTCACAATTATAGTGTATATGCATAATTTGTTGCCGTTATTTCAAACTTTTGTAAGGGGTGAGAGAATATATCAGAAGTGATCTAGGGATGTGGGGTATAGAAAAGGTTGGGACCCGCTGATCTAAAGGAATGTTTTGGAATGCACAGGAGCACCTGTGAGCACCTAATTTTTATATTGATAAAGCACACATTTTTACCCAAGGTTTGCGAGGCTTTGAAAGTTGCTCCCAACTGTCTCTGCATTCACAGGAAACAGAACTGCAATCAAGCCTTTACAAACAGCCATTAGATTCATGCTCCTATATGCTCCAAAGCACCTTTCGGTGATCAAATGAAGAGCACTGCTAATCCCTAGAAGCTATGTGACATAGGCAAAGCTGTTACAGAACAAGTATTGGTTTAATATAATTTCTGAAAATGAAAAAAGAGTGTCCAATCTATACCAAGATGTCCTCTTCCACCTGCTCTTACTGTATCTGTTTATCAGCAGATACAGGAGCTTCACCCACTCATGGCAGAGGCTAAGGAGCATCTTCCCCTCCACATAGATACCCTCTTGTTGGGGGGTAGGGGCTTGCGTGTTCTGTTAAGATTGAGAGCTATGCTGGAGTTATGCCACCAGAAAATATACCAAGCCAGACAGGTCTCAACTGAGGAACCAGATTAAGAATATCTACAAACCCATTAACCAGAATAAGACAACAGAAAAAGAATCTGATACTAGATTGATCATTGCCTGGATTAACAAGGATCGTGGCAGTTGCTGTCTGTGGGCAGCTGTTGAAAAGCGAGTTTACAGGTTTGGAGAAAGACCTGATGACCTACTCTCCAAAAAAACTCACCAAGAAAATTCTATGGAAAAGATCTCAAATGTGTCAGATAGGACCCCAATGACAGGACAACAGGAATTCCAGTTGCTGTACAAAGCCAGTGGCGGAAACAAATGTCTGCATTGTGCAAAGATACATCAGCCACATGGAATGTCAGAGGTAAATTAGATATTGTCAAATGATGATCAGGCTGGAAAATGATCTCTTGATGTCGGTGAGCTACATTGGTCAGACAATGGCTTTTTCAAGTCTGAGGACTTCACTGTTTATTATTCAGGACATGATACCAGGAAAACAAATGGAGCGGTGTTTATTGTAAGCAAGAAACTTGCTAGAGCAATGGAAAGTTTCTCAACTGACCGAACTATCAGAATTCATGTCAAGCCCCTCAACATCACAATTATCCAAGTCTATGCCCCAACGACGGCTGCAACAGAGCTTGAAATAGAGGGCTTTTATGCCATGCTCAAGAAACTCTGAAACAAGTGCCCAAAAAAGACATTGTTTACATTCTGTGAGACTTCAATGCAAAGTTGGAAAATAAGCAGAGACAGGCACCATTGGTTATTTTGGACTAGATTAAAAAGATTTAGGATCATGAATACATGGTTCACAGTGTTGCTTATGCACTTGGACCTCACCAAATGGACTCCACTATAATCAGACTGACTGTGTCCTATACAGTCAATTGATGGACCAATTCAGTTCTTGCTGTTAAGACATGTCCAAGTGCTGATTGCAGTTCAGATCATGAATTGTTGTTAGCAAATATTAAAGTCAAACTATGCATCTTCAAAAAGGAAATGCCTCCAAAGAAGTTTGATGTTACTAAAATTCCTACTACATCTACAAATGAAATGAAAAACAGGTCTGAACTACTGGACACTGCTGAGAAGATGCCTGATGAACTGTGGCAGGAAATTCAATCAACCATTACTGGAATTGCAAAAGAACATACAAAAGAAGCCAGAGAAAAAAGTGCAAATGGCTCTTAGATGAAACCACAAAATAGCTGAGCAATCAAGGCAGCAGGCAAATGGAAAGAAGACTGAATGCAGCTTTCCAGAGGGCAGCAAGGAAGGACAATGAAGTTTACTGGGACAAGAGATGTAAACAGCTTGAAGCGGACTACAAAAATGTAGGAGTGCAAACAGATCCCAGCATCATTTATTGCTCATAAATGTATCATTAAAAACAAACAAGGGAAACCAACACATGGCCACAGGATTGGAAATGCTTAGTGTTTATGCCACTGCTGAAAAAGGGAGACTCTAAAGCAGGGGTCTTCAAACTTGGCCCTTTTATGACTTGTGGACTTCAACTCCCAGAATTCCTCAGCCAGGCATGCTGGCTGAGGAATTCTGGGAGTTGAAGTCCACAAGTCATAAAAGGGCCAAGTTTGAAGACCCCTGCTCTAAAGATTGCTCGGCGCCTCGGCATAGTCAGCTGACCCCATCGCTGACTATAGGGGGCGAAATTTTGGCCCCCTCAGAGAAGGCCCGCAACTTGGGAGTCCTCCTGGATCCACGGCTGACATTGGAAGACCATCTGTCGGCCGTGACCAGGGGGGCGTTTTCTCAGGTCCGCCTGATTCACCAGTTGCGACCTTTTCTGGACCGGGACGCCTTGCGCACAGTCACTCATGCTCTCGTCACCTCTCGCCTGGACTACTGTAATGCTCTCTACATGGGGCTCCCTCTGAGGAGCACCCGGAGACTCCAACTGGTCCAGAATGCGGCCGCGCGGGCGGTGTTGGGAGGGACTCGT